AAGGAAAACACTACCAAGAGGGTATTGTAATCATAAACATATATGCACCAAACACAGGTACACCTATTTTCTTTTTTTGGTCTTATTGAGACAGGGTCTCCCTGTAGCCCCAGCTGGCCTGGAACTCACTATGTAGACCAGTCTGGCCCTGAACTCATGGAGATCTCCTGCCTCTGCCTCCCGAGTGCTGGGGTCAAAGGTGTGTGCCACCACACCCAGCTGTTATTAGGTTTTAAAGCTGGGGTTGGACCATTATTGACTGGTTTTCTCCCTTAGCAGCTTGCATAGTGTCGTCTAGAACTACAAGAGCTAGGTAATCTTCAGGGAGGCAGCTTCCAGATCAGTTCCAGCTCCATTGCTCGAAGAACTATTGGCAGCTGATTACTACCAGGTGAGGGAGAACTGATCTTTAAGGGTGAGACTCTAATTTGGCTGACTAGGCCCCAGTGGACGAACTTGCATGGAGAGATGTCAGGGTACACTAACTTGATTCTATAGGCTTTAACATATGTGAACGAATTCATGAAATTCAGTGGGGAGGGTATGGGAGAGGTGTGGATGGGGGAGGAGGTATAAAGGTGATTAAGATGTCTGGTATGAAATGCACACACAAAATCAATAAAAAAGAAAAATCACAGAAGTGAAATCTTTCTGTTTTTTTTTTTTTTTTTTTTTTTTAATGAGACAGGGTCTCCCTGTAGCCCTGATGGCCTGGAACTCACTATGTAGACCAGGCTGACCTCGAACTCACAGAAAGCCACCTGCCTCTGCTTCCTGAGTTCTGGGACTAAAGGTGTGTGCCATCATGCCTGGCAGGAGCCAAATCTTTAATAATTATAGTGTAAATAGAAAACAAAAATTATTTTTTGAAAATTTCATACGTGCATATGATATATCTTGATCACACCCGTTGATTCCTCCTTCAACATCCCCAGAACGCCCCATCACATTTCCCTCTCAGCTGTGTGGGCTTTTCTTTATAATTATTCATCCATTTATTAATTTAACCTACTAAGTGCAATTAATGCTGCTTAAATGTGCATGAACACAGGGGTCATCCACTGGGGCCTGGGCAGCTCGCCAGTGCCTACACTCCTGTGGAAAGTGACTTTCCCTCCCTCAGTAGCCATTAATAGCTCAGAGCAAGGGGCTGGGAGTGGGGGTGGGGTCTCAGGCACATATTCCTGTCCATGCTGGAGTTTTTAACTGACTTGATCTTATGTGGGTCTCATGCAGGTCACCACAGCTGCCGTGAGTTTGTGAGTGCAACAACCACATCATGTCCAGAGACAGCACGTCAGAGCAGCCCCCCATCCTCCAGGCCTTAACATTCTTCGCTCCCTCTTCTAAGACGTTTTCTGAGCCTGGAGGGATGCCCTGCTTTTGTTTGGGATTTCGCTAATTTCATGGAGCAGTATATTGACAGGTGCAGTATTCCAGGGTATGCATATTACACTTCAAAACATTTTACTGAGAAAGTAGGAGGAACATAAAATCCTTGAAACTGTAACAATCATACCTTTGCAATGTTATAAAACATGACAGTACCTCACTGGAGTGGCATTCCCCCATATTTGTGTAGGAATGAGAAATTTGGGGTCTTTTCGTGTCTGTCTCCCAGAAGTCAAGGCCTCTGTCTGTTCGGAAGGTAGGGAGGTCATCCATGGGAATAAAACTGATAACAGAGCGATTTTGATAGTGATGCCATCTCTGCCCTAGGCATAATCTAGAAGCCTCAGGTCACTGGTACAGCTGGGCTTGGAGGCCAGCTGTTTCTGTCCACAGAGCTGGGGATCTCAACAGCGTCCCTCTGTGATGACAGTTTGCATGTAAGGGAGGTGGTAGAGAAGGGTTGGAAATGATTTTCTATATTCTTACATTTGTTTATTAGTTAGTTATTATTTGTGTATGAGGCTGGGTGGGTGAATGGGCGTGGGTATGCACACTCCTTGATGCACATGTGGAGGTCAGAGGACTACTTGTGGGAGTCAGTTCTCTCCTTCCACCATATGGGTCCTAAGGAATGTGACCTCAGGTTGTCAGCCCTGGGGGCAAGTGCCTTTACCCACTGAGTCATCTTGCTGGCCCCTAGTTGCTCTGTTTTCAAACCTTATGCAGATGGAGCTACCCAGGTTGTGTTCACATCTGCATCTTTCCCAGAACATTATGTCTCCATGACCCGTCCAAAGTAGCATACCTGCGTATTATTTGCTCATGTTTCTGAGAAACAATCAATTCTGTCTTTGCATTGAGCAATCCTATCCTGGAGGGACTGTCAGTAAATTCATTTTATAACCCAGAAGGTGGAAGTTCAAAGAAACAAAGCCCCAAGTCCCGGGTGTCGGAGGTTCCCCAGCTCTCCTGGAGCTTCCTAGTTCCCTCCCTAGGGATCTCTTCCTCCTGCAGTTCTATCTCTGGGCTTCTCTGGGCTCTGGTCATCTGTGGAGGTGTCTCAGTCGTTAGGGATTTTTGGAAGAGAATTGAGGAACCAGCAGGGGAAGGAGCAGGCTTGGGGCTACTTGAGTAACAGGAACTTTGATTTTTAAATAGCTAGGCATGTGTCATCATGATAGCAGAACTTGTGGGTGAGACAGAACCTCCTGGAAGTCCAGGTGCACACCACCCCTCCCACCCCAAGCTCCCCACACTGCCAAGCTTCCTATACCAAAGTGTAGCATTCGTGAAGCCCTGAGTTCTATCCCTAGCACCACATAAACTGCGTGAGGTAACACACATCTGTCTTCTCAGCTCTCAGAGATAGAGAAATCAGAAGTTCATGGGCTAGAAAGATGGCTCTGTGGGTAAGTGCTTGGCGAGGACTTCACTTCCACGCTCCACACACCCCCAAGCTCCCCATTACTCCAAACTCCCTAACTTATAGTATTCTCCTCTTTGTGGCAGATTTGTTATCTTCTGGACTAGGGACTAAAGGAAACACTTTCTGACTGACACCAGATGTGTGTGGGTTTCTCCTGCATGAAGCAATTTTCTAGTTCTTTGTGTACACATTCTCAGAGTCCTAGCATTTAATTCAGTTCTGATGCTAACTGTGTGTGCGACCCTTGCAGGTTAGAAGCTCAGTCACAGGCTATGGGTGAAGTTGGTAAAGTGTCTTCTTAGTACTCATGAAGCCCTGGGTTCCATCCGCAGCACTACATAAACCAAGTGTGGAAACTCATGTCTGTCATCTCAGAATTTAGAGATAGAGGTGGGAGGATCAGAAGTTCATGGGCTAGAGAGATGACTCGGTGGGTAAAGCACTTGTGCAGGCACAGGGACCTTATTTCACACACATAACAAAGTTAAAGGTCAGGCCGGGCATGGTGGCGCACGCCTTTAGTCCCAGCACTTGGGAAGCAGAGGCAGGCAGATCTCTGTGAGTTCAAGGCCAGCCTGGTCTACATAGTTACATAGTGAGTTCCAGGCCAGCTGGGGCTGCAGGGAGACACTGTCCCAAAAAGACCAAAAAAGAAAAAAAAAAAAGAGTTAAAAGTCATCCTCAGTTTAGAATGCAACAGATCCTATCACAGATAAACAGGGTGGGATGGGGGAAAGTTCTCAGATTATCTACACAGATGTCTGACTTGGTTGCAAATCATGGATCCTCTCAAATTTAAAAGAAAATCTGCTTTATGTGCATATATATGTACCTGTCTGTGTGAATATAGGCCACATTTGTGGGGTTGTCTGTGGGGGTCAGAAAAGAGCTTGGATCCCCTGGAGCTATAGGTGGTTGTGAGCCACCTGATGAGGGTACTGGGAACTGAACCTGGATCCTCTGCAAGAGCAGCAAGTGCTCTTAACCACTGAGCCATCGCTCCAGTTCCCAGCCTGGTCTTTTGAAATAGTTACAAATATCCTTAGTCAACCAATGAGGAATTAAAGGCTTGAGAGAGTTCTCAGAGAGACCCACATCTCTCTCTACTGCTTTCTGCCCCGGGAGGATGCCTGCCAGGGACTGGATTAACTGGATTCAAGACTTCTCGGTTTCTGCTTGAGTGTGGTTAACTAAGCATAGTGAGAAGAGATTTAGGTCTGATGTCACCGACAGCACCAGCTCCCATGTGGGCTGACCTCTGCTAGTGGGTGACTCCTCCTACTCTCTCTGGGATCTTGAAACCATTTATTTTTCTGGCCCTTTAGGGTTAGGAGTGGTAATAGGAAAGGTTTACCATTCTGACACTTTCCTAGATTAATGTTATTTCTTAATGTGCTGGACAGGTTCAGGTGTCAACTTGACACCTAGGTAGAGGGAGCCTCAATTGGGGAATTGCCTCCATAGGACTGTTCTGTGGCCATGTCTGTGGGGGCATCTTCTTGATTGTTGTGTGATGTGGGAGGGCCCAGCCCACTGTGGGTGGTGCCACCCCTGGGCAGGGGTCCTGTGTTGTATAAGAAAGCAGGCTGAGCAGGGACCAGGGGAGCAAGCCAGTAAGCAGCATTTCTCCATGGCCTGTGCTCCAGCTCCTGCCTCCAGGTTCCTGCCCTGACTTCCCTTAATGATGAATTGTGACTTGGGAGGTGTAAAATAAACCTTTTCTCCCTAAGTAAGTTTTGATCAGTGTTTTTACCACAGCAATAGAGAAGCTAATAGCAGGTCACTTGCTATACTCTAAGTCCTTACACTTACAGACAAGTGCACCTCTTAGCACACATCAAAGAAGCTTCTTTTTGCAACAGTTGGAGACTATTACAAAGTTCCACAACTGGTTAAATACATAGAAGAAGTGACTGTGAGGTGCCCTAAGTGACGCATCTACAATGCAACCTCTACACCTAAGGTCCAGGGAGCATTGCAGAAGAAGGTGGGAAAGAGTGTAAGGACCAGAGAGAAAAGACATGTGCTCCTAGTTGATGTGTTCTACACAGAGTAGGGAAACTACACCAGCGAAATCTTCATGGTAAGGTAACCTAGCAAGATCTGCATCGTGACAAAACCAGTTGACATATCGAGGTGGAATGTCATGGGGTCCTAACTCAAGATGAAGAATTCAAGGCAATCAGGGGATGCTGAGGGAGGGGGAATCAGTTTTCTCCAGGGGTTATCCTTGAGATGCTGTCTAATCCCAAGTGGGAAACCCTACACAGGTACCCAAGAATACCACTAAATGGACTTAGTACATTATATGTATATGTATGTATATTATAAATATGTGTACGTATGTAATAAAATTAATCAAAGAAGAGGACAAGGAAATTGTGAGGGGTGGGGACATGGGAGGGGTGGG